GAGGAATACATGTAAATCCATGGCTGATTCATGTCAATGTATGGCAAAAACTACTACAATATTGTAAAGTAATTAGCCTCCAACTAATAAAAATAAATGAAAAAAAATTACAATTAGTTTAGTTAAAAAAAAATAAAGACTGATGAGCATTTATTGAATCAGTTGAAATATACAACTAAGCAAAAACAACTGTGGAGAATAATCATTCCAGGAGAGAACATAAGTGTTAAACCTTGATATTAAAAGGCTTCATATTTGAAAGTTGCCAAGAGAGTAAAAAAGTTCCCATTACAAGAAAAAGAAAAAGTACTTAGGCTGACAGTTAACTAGACTTATTGTGGTAGTCATTTCACAATGTATATAAATAGGAAATCATGTTGTACAGCTTAAACTAATAATATTATATGTCAATTATACCTCAATTTTTAAAGTGACATGGAAAATAAGGGGCAAGGAAAAAATGAAGAATGCTAAATTCTGCAGCTTTCATAGGAACAAATAAGCAATACAGTATTTTTTTTCAAAGTTTTAAAGACTCTTCTGGCCTTCTGGTGTTTTTTTCTTTAAAACCATAATAGAAATCTTTCAAAAAATAAAATACTTTGTGATAGACAATCATATGAATATTTCAACAGCTTCAGTTTCACTTTAGGTTTCTTCATTTTTCTAAGATCAAATAAAATCAAATTCAAATATCTAACAAATAGCTCATGTAGTATAGTTTTCTTGTTAAACTGTCTGTATATCAATTCTTACATTTGTATGTATATTAAGAATGACTGGAAAGATGGTCATCATTTAATGTTAACAATGGTAATTTCTGGCTGGTGGGAGGGATTTTTATTTCCTTGGTATTTTTATTTCCTGCTTCACTTGAATTCTTCATAATGAGATATAGCACTCATAAAATGTCATAACTAAGGCTATTAAGAGGCTTAGTAATAAACCAAAAATTTTTAAGGAATTTTTTATTTTAAAATGTAATTTTCAAACACGCTCTTCTGACCTTATGAAACAGAAGAGTTACGGTAGATAAAAGAGTAGAACCAGAATACTATTCATGTATTGTGAGGATCAGTCTTCCCTAAATGAAGGTCTACTTTTTTAATGGCTAATGAAAAACAAGAACTTTTAAAACTTTCTTGCAACAGACTCAACTAGGAAGGTATTAAAAACACAGCACATTTATTTAAACTGTTACTTTTGATAATTCATTGACTCATGACAGGTCAGTATCTTCATTCTATTACCTTATTGGGTACAGTCATTAGTGTTACATAAAACTTCATGTAAAATTAAACAGTTAAAAGTACAGTTAAGAACATAGTTGATCTGCATGAGAGGATTCACCATCATGTACCCTAGTACCTAATGTGGTTATTTTTTCTGTTTCCTGGGTCTCTCCAGCTTAGATTCATTTTCATTTCAGAGAATATAAAAGTGGCTCCATTGAGCTCTGGCCCATGAGGGCCCAGCCGCTGCACTATCAGTGTGTGTTGACCCAGTGGTACCTGTCCACCCGGTGCCCAGCAGCAGGCCTGTGACCTTTAGGGGTCTTATGCAACACGTGATAAGCATTTCCTAGGAGGCCCACCCGGCCATCCCTCATATTCTTTTTTCGGGGAATTTGGAACCAAGATTGAAAGGGCTGTTTCAAATTTTCAACCTGGGGAGAAAATAAAAAGGAATATGATGATTTTCTAATCATCTAATAAGCCAGCTTTAAGGATTAACTATAAACCCATAATTCACAAGTCTTAAAACTTTTAAAAGCATGGGAAATACAAACAAATAGAAGTCAAGTTAATTATCATCTTTGGAAAATTGACTTGATGGAGGTTATGAAATTAGTCACTTCATGTCTTTTAACAAAATTCTTTACTCCAACTAAAACTTTTAAAAACACATTTACTCAAATTAGTATATATTCTGTATTCTCCCCCATCCAACTCCCACCTCACTCAATCCAAAACCATTTAATCACAATCTCTGGGGCTGAGGTGTAGAAACACCCATGTTAAACATCCTAGATGGCCAATACAAATGTTTTGCAGACTACACTTTGGAAGGACATTGCTCTAAAATAACATAGCTGACTATAGATCTGATCCTTAGATGAAGATGATCTTTCTAAGGATCAGAATAGAATTAAGAGCAAATATTTAACTACATAATTTTAAACTTTTATACATATAGAGGCTTCCCTCCTAGCTCAGTTGGTAAAGAATCTGCCTGCAACACAGGAGACCCCAGTTCAATTCCTGGGTTGGGAATCCCCTAGAGAAGGGATAGGCTACCCACCCCAGGATTCCTGGGCTTCCGTTGTAGCTCAGCTGGTAAAGAATCCACCTGCAATGCGGGAGACCTGGGTTCGAACCCTGGGTTGGGAAGATCCCCTGGGGAAGGGAAAGGCTACACCACTCCAGTATTCTGTCCTGGAGAATTCCATGGACTATGGAGTTGCAAAGAGTCAGACATGACTGAAAGACTTTCACTTTCACATATAGAACTAAATACAAACAATATATATAATTTAGAAAACTATAACAAGCTAGGGGGAAAAAATTTGCCAGTAATATGACAAGGGGTTCGAGGGATTGACCCTGTGTCTCTTACATCCCCTGCATTAGCAATTTCTTATGTCTCTTTAATTAACAGTTGGGTTCTTTACCACTAGCGCCACCTGGGAAGCCCCAAAAATATTCCTAACCTTTGAAAAGCCTATAACAACAACACATTAGGACCTCAAATGATAAATGGGTGAAGAAAAAATTCTTTAGACAGATAGTACCTACAACATTTAGGTACATGGAGTTTTTGTTTTAATATTTAATTTAATTAGTGATATATTTAATATTATAATAGTCAAAGCTATGTTTTCTCATGTAGTTATGTACGAATGTGAGAAATGGACAATAAAAACAACTGAGCACCGAAGTATTGATGCCTTCAAACAGTGGTGCTGGAGAAGACTCTTGAGAGTTCCTTGGACTGCAGGGAGATCAAGCCAGTCAATCCTAAGGAAATCAACCCTGAATATTCACTGGAAGGACAGATGCTGAAGCTAAAGCTCCAATACTTTGGCTACCTGATGCAAAGAACTGACTCATTGGAAAAGACCCTGATGCTGGGAAAGATTGAACACAGGAGGAAAAGGGGACGACAGAAGATGAGATGGGTGAATGGCATCACCAACTCAATGGACATGGGTTTGAGCAAGCTCAGGGAGATAGTGAAGGACAGGGAAGCTTGACATGCTGCAGTCCATGGGGTTGCAAAGAATCAGACACGACTGAGTGACAGAACATAATTAATAAAATGCTATTTTTCAAGAAGAATATCCAATCTTAGGGAAAATGATAAAACAAACACTTTCACATAGAGCTGGTGAGACTACAAATAAAGACATCTTTTTAGAAAGTACTTTGCTATGTGTTAACTTGTAAAACACCCATACTCAATGACCTAATAATTCCATGTCTGAGAATCAAACCTCTAGCAACAACTTAAGATTCAGACACCTCTATAAAAATTAGCTTTTTAATACCACAACAATGTGAAAGCAACCTAGATGTTTGACAATAATTTGTTAGCTAAATAAACTATAAGGGAAGCAAGTGGTTTAAAGTGTTAAATATTTAAATTGCTTTAACATGCCCATACATAAGTGGTTAAGAAAACAAATTACATACAAAATGTCAGAGATTCTCCCTAAATCAGTGTTTTTTCAACTGTAAGTTGTCACCATTAGTGGGTCATAAAAATCAATTTAAGTGGTTGATTTTAATTTGTCAAAGATTTGAGGCATTGTGCCTAGTAAGGATAAGTATGTCATGAAGCCTATTTCCAATATATAGATATGCATATCTTCCTATGATCATGGTTGTGACTTAAAAAATAAAAAATTTTTGTTTTTTTTTTTTTTTTTTTGGAAAACTGATCTAGTGGTGGAGTCACAGATCTTTGATCATCCCTTAATATTCCAAATGTTCTACAGGTGGTATGTTATTTTCCATTGTCAATAACTACTAATTTTGATATCTGATTCTGAAGGAATTTAGGTGAAAGGAAATTTATATTGTGTTGTGCTTAGTCGCTCAGTCATGTCTGACACTTTGAGACCTGTGACTGTAGCCTGCCAGGCTCCTCTGTCCATGGGGATTCTCCAGGCAAGAGTACTGGAGTGGGCCGCCATGCCCTCCTCCAGGGGATCCTCCCAACCCAGGGACTGAAGCCAGGTCTCTGTTGCAGGCGGATTCTTTACCGTCTGAGCCACGAGTGAAGCCCGAAAGAAAATTTATGTATGTTCAAATACTATACAGGAGAAATTCAACTAGAAAAGATGGTGTATATCCTGAGCACTCAGCCAAGTTGAGGGAATAGAGAGAAGAAAGAAAAAAATAAGAGAAGTTTTGCCAGAATATTATTATTGTGATTTCAATCTTCATAATTTGTTTTTCCATGTTTTCCAATTATTTGTTTCTTTGCTTTTACAGTGAGCCTACCCTTTTTAGATTTAAAATAGAAAACAAAAAAACAAAAAACAAAAAAGTGGGCGTCCCTGGTGGCTCAGGGGTGAAGAATCTGCCTCCAGTGCAGGAGACACCCGTTCAATCCCTGATCTGAGAAGACCCCACATGCCTGGGGACAGCTAAGCCCCTTCACCCCTACTGAGCCTGTGCTCTAGAGCCTGGGAGCCGCCACTGCTGAAGCCCAAACACTCTAGAGACTGTGCTCCGAAGCACGAGGAGAGACCGCAGTGAGGAGCCCACACCCCACTCCCAGCACGAGAGAAAAACCTGCGAGGCAACAAAGACCCGGCACAGATAAATAAATCAAAGTATATTTTAAAAAGAAGGGAAAAGTACAGAGGAGAAATGGAAACACTTTACCTGATAAATACTCTTTGGATTGCTGACTTTAGGAATTATCTGAGGTTCTTTGTTACAACTTTCTTCATCAGAGGAAGTGCTGGAGGAGTAGTCTAAGGTGGCTCTGTTAACAGCATCACTAATTTGTTGGGATAATTCCCATTCCTCCCACCTGCCTTTGAAAGAAGCAATTGTAAATGGATGATTTTTCTCACCATACCTAAGAAAGAAAGGAAAATAAAGCATTCATTAGGGACTCAAATTCTCACAGGTTTTTATTTCTAAACTTTTCTGGAAACAGCTCAGTAACTTGTAAGAGTTACTTGAAAAAAAAAAAAAAACACAACAAATTGTGAGAATTAGGCCAAGACGGTGGAGACCCTGAGCTTACCTCCTCTCATGAGCACACCAAGATTACAACTATTTAGACAGCAATTATTGATGAGAGACTGAACTCTAACAGAAAAGATCTTCTACAATTAAAGTTATAAAGAAGGAACCACAATAAGACAGGTAAGAGGAGTGGAGATAGTCCAGACACATACCTGCAGGTGGGCAACACACAAACGGAGATAATGATAGAGGTTCTCCTGAAGAGTATTCAGTGGGTGAGCCCCACATCACACTCCCCAGACCAGAGCCAACCCCAGGAAGATGAGCCCCCAGAATGTTTGGCTTTGAAGGACAAGGGGCTTACTTTCTGGAGAGCCAGATGGCTGTGGGAAATAGAGACACTGCTCTCAAAAGGCCCACACAAAATTTCACATGCGCTGGGACCCAGGGCAGAGGCAGAAATTCGAAAGGAACCTGCGTCAGACCCACCTGCTGATCTTGGAGAGCCTCCCGTAGACGCAGGAGGCCCTGGAGCTCACCCTGGGGACACAGAAACTGGCAACAGCCATTCCGAGGAGCTTGTTCCACCATATGAACACTGGTGCTGACGAGTGCCATTTTGAAATCCTCCCTCTAGCTGACTAGTACTAGGACTCAGACCCACCCACTAGCCCGTCAGCACCAGTGCTGAGTAGCCTCGGGCCAAACAACTAGCCAGGTGGGGAAACAGTCCCACCTACTATCAGCCACACTGCCCTAAGACCCCCTGAGCCCACAGCGGCCCCAGAATACTACACGGTCCACCAGAGGGCCCAGCACCTGGCCCCCACACACCAGTGCACACAGCCAGGGCCCTGGAAGCAGAGACCGAGGACCCAGCTCTGCCTACCAGTGTTCTAGAACCAACCTCAAGGCCTCCTGACCCCTGGGCCCACCTGACAACGAGCCAGCACCAACCTGGGGGCCAATTTCACACACCAGTGGACATCCTCAAGACCCCTGGGCCCTGGCCTCACCCACCAATGGGCAGACACCAGCCCTAGGACCACCACAGGCCCACAGCCTACCATGACAGGACCAAGAGCACCCACCAGCAGGCTAACACCAGCTCCAGGATCTCCTGGGCCCAGGCCCCACCTACCAGCAGGTCAACACCGGCTCCGAGACACCTTGGATCCCTCAGTCAGCCAATCAGATATCTAGCCCCACCCACCAATGGGCCAAATCAAGCTTTGGAACACCCTGGACCCTGTAGCTGGCTATCTCAGGGTGCCAGCTAAATCCAGGACCCCCAGGGTCCTGCACTCAGAAATCTCAAGACACAGCTCCACCCACCAAATGAGCTAGCACTAGCCCCAGGGCACCCTGGGACCCTGGGGCCCCGTCCCCACCTCCTAAACCCCCATCAACAGCCTGACACCAGTTCTGAGTCCCTTGCAGCAAGAGAACTCAGGGCCTGGTTCTGCCTGACGGTAGGTCAGCACCAGCCCTAGGATCTGGCTACACTCTTCAGCAGGTGGGCACCAGCCCCAGGATCCCTTGGGCCTTAATCCTGCCTACCAGCAGGTGGATACCACTTCTGGCATTCCTTGGGACCCTCATCCAGCAGCCCCAAGACACAATCCCACCCACCAGTGGGCTGACACCAGCTTTGTGATCCCCAGGCCCTGCAGCCAGAGACCCCGAGACACAGCTCTGCCCACCAGTGAGCCAGTACTAAGCCCCAGCACCCTCTCGACCATAAGCCACCCACCAGCAGGCCAATGCCAGCTTTAGGACATCTTGAACCCCCTCAGCCAGCCACTGTGGGATCCAGCCCTACTCATCAATGAGCCAGCACCAGCCGTGGGACACTCCAGAACCCACAACCAGTTGTATCAGAAAGCAACCCCACCCACCAACAGGCTGACTTTAAAATTAGAAACTTCAGCCCTGCAACCACCATCACCTCTACCCCCCAGCACCAGAAGCCAACTCTGCCCATCAGTGAGCGAGCACTAGGCCCGGGAGCCCCTTCCTCAGGGTTCCACCGACAACTGCCTCGACTCAACCCTGCAAACCACCAGCTGGCAGCCTCCATACAAGGCAGGGCCTGGCAACCAACCAGACCAGGGGCCAGCCACACCTACCAGACCACCCACAGTAGTTAGCCCACCACAGCATAAAGGCCCACATGAGGGCACCCCTAGAGCACACAGCTCTGGTAACCAGAGGGGAGAGCACTGCTGGGATGCCCTGGGTGTCTCCTACAAAAGGCTACTTCTCCAAAGTCAGGAAATGCTACCAACCAACCAGATACATAGAAATAAAAACAAATTAGGCCACAAATGAGGGAAGAAAGGAACATGTTCCAAATGAAGGAACAGGATAAAACCCAAGAAGTTAAGTGGAGAAAGGCAATCTACCCAATAAAAAGTTCAAGGTAAAGATCATAAAGATAAACAAAGAACTTGGGAGAAGAATGGGGGGAAATAGTGAGAAGTTGGGAGAAGAATGGAGGAAAATAGTGAAAAGTTAAAAAAGAGTTAGGAGATATACAGAAGAATCAAACAGAGCAGAACACAATAACTGAAATGAAAATATGCTAGAGGGACTCAGCAGTAGACTGGGTGACACAGAGGAACAGATCAGTAAGTTGAAAGACAGATTAATAGAAATCACTGAACCTGAACAGAAAAAAGGAATAAAAAGAAATTAGGATACTTTAAGAGATGTCTGGAACACCACCAAGCACACTAATATTTGCATTAGAAAAGAAAAGAAAAGGGTCAGAGGACGTATTTGAAGACATAATAGCTGAAAACTTCCTTACCTGGGAGACAAAACAGACATCCAGGTCCAGGAAGCATACAGTCTCAAACAGAATCAACCCAAGGAGAACCACACCAAGATACATTGTTATTAAAATGGCAAAGACAGAGAATATTAAAAGCAAGGAAAATGCAACAAGTTGCATATAAGGGAATCCCCATAAGGCTATCAGCATACTTTTCAGCAGAAACTGCAGACCAGAAGAGTATCATGTAGTATATTTAAAGTGATGAAATGGAGAAATTATGGCCAAGAATACACCACATGGCAAAGTTTACTATCAGATTTGAAAAAGAGATCAAAAGTTTTACAGACAAGCAAAAGCTACAAGAGTTCAGCACCACTAAACCAGTTTTGCAAGAAATGTTAAAAAGGGACTTCTCTAAGTGAAAAAGGAAAACCACAACTAGAAACATGAAAATTACAAAAGAAAAGAGCTTATTGGTTAGAGGAAAATATACACTAAAAGCAGCAAGATCAACCACATACAAAGTTAATAGGAAGGCTAAAAGACAAAAGTAGTAAAATTGCCTAGACCTGCAGTAAGTAATTAAAGGATACATGAAACAATTAGATGTAAAATATGGTATCAAAAACAGTAAGCATGAGAGAGGAGGAGTAAAAGTGAAGGATTGTTAAAATGCATTTAAAATTAAGAGATCAGCAACTTAAACAATCACATTTATACACACACACACATTTTTTAAAAAGCAATGGAATTCCAGAAAAGCATCTACTTCTGTTTCATTGACTATGCTAAAGCCTTTGTGTGGATCACAACAAACTGTGGAATATTCTTAAAGAGATGGGAATACCAGATCAACTTACCTGTATCCTGAGAAACCTGTTGCAGGTCAAGAAGCAACAGTTAGGACCTTACATGGAACAATTGACTGGTTCAAAATTGGGAAAGGAGTACAACAAGGCTGTATATTGTCACCCTGTTTATTTAAATTATATGCAGGTTACATCATGCGAAACACTGGACTGGATGAGTTACAAGCTGGAATCAAGATTGCTGGGAGAAATATCAACAACCTCAGATATACAGATGATACCACCCTAATAGCAGAAAGTGAAGAGGATCTAAAGAGGCTCTTGATGAGGATGAGGAGGAGAGTGAAAAAGCTGGCTTAAAATTCAACATTAAAAAACAAAGATTATGGCATCTGGTCCCATCACTTCACGGCATACAGAAGGGGAAAAAGTGGGAGCAGTGACAGATTTTCTCTTCCTGAGTTCCAAAATAACTGCAGATAGTGACTGTAGCCATGAAAACAGAAGATGTTTGCTTCTTGGAAGGAAGACTAAGACAAATCTAAACAGCATATTAAAAAGCAAAGACATCACTTTGCCAACAAAGGTCTGTATAATCAAAGCTATGGTTTTTCCAGTAGTCATGTATAGATGTGAAAGCGGACCATAAGGAAGGCTGAGCACCAAAGAACTGATGCTTTGGAATTGTGGTACTGGAGAAGACTCTTGAGAATCCCTTGGATACCAGGGAGATCAAACCAGTCAATCCTAAAGGAAATCAACCCTGACTATTCATTGGAAGGACTGATGATGAAGCTGAAACTCCAATACTTTTGCCACCCGATGCAAACAGCTGACTCATTGGAAAAGACTCTGATGCTGGGAAAAATTGAAAACAAAAGGAGAAGAGGGTGGCAGAGGATGAGATGGCTGGATAGCAGCACCAATTCACAAACTTGAACTTGGACATGAACTTGGGCAAATTTCCAGGAGATGGTGAGGGAAACAAGGAGGCCTGGTATGCTGCAGTCCATGCGGTCACAAAGAAACAGACACTACTTAGAGACAACAAAAATACACATAAAATACATATTGCTACCTATAAACCTCATGGAAACCAAAAATCAAAATCTATAATAGATACACACACAAAAAAAGAAATCTAAACATCATCCAAACATAATTTGAAGATAGTTAACTAACAAGGGAAGAGAACAAAAAGAACAAAATGAATTACAAAAACACCAAAACAATTGATAAAAAGACTGTAAGTACCAATCAATAATTACTTTTAATGTAACAGGAATAAGTGTTCTAAAGACAGAGTGAAGATACAAAAATAATACCCATATATATGCTATCTACAAGAAACTCACTTTAGATCTAAAGGCATACAGACTGAAAGTGAGATATAAAGAAGTATACCACATAAATAGAAATGGAAAGAAAGCCATGGTAGCAATATTTACACCAGAAAAAGTAGACTCTAAGACAAAGTAGACTTTAAAACAAAGACTGTAGCAACAGACAAAGGAGAACATTATGTAATGATCAAGGATCGATCCAAGAAATGTAATTATAAATATATATGCACCCAACATAGGAGCATCTAAATTTGTAAGCTAATATTAACAGAGGTAAAGGGAGAAATTGACAGTAACACATAATATTAGGAGACTTTAACACCCCACTTATATCAGTGAACAGATCGTACAGACAGAAAAATCAAGAAAGAAACACTAGCCTTAAACTGATATAATAGACCAAATGGACTTAATAGATACCTACAGGCCTTCCATCCAAAAGCCATAGAATACATGTTCAAGTGTATATGGAACATTCTCTGGGACAGACCACATGCTAGGCCACAAATCTGTTCTCAGTACATTTAAGAAGATTGAAATCATATTGACCATCTTTTCTGATCACAATGCTATGAAACTAGAAGTTGCTATGAGAAAACTGCAAAAAACACAAATACATGAAGGCTAAACAATATACTTCTAAACAACCAATGGATCACTGAAGAAATCAAAGAGAAAATTCAAAAAATACCTATAGACAAATAAAAACAAAAACACAATGATCCAAAAATCTATGTGATGCTGCAAAAGTAGTCCTAAGAGAAATTTATAGTGATACAAACCTACCTCAGGAAATAAGAAAAATCTCAAGCAACATAACCTTACACCTAAAGGAACTTTAAGAAAAACAAAGCCCAAAGTTAGTAGAAGGAAAGAAATTATAAATATCAGAGCAGAAATGAAACAGAGACAAAAACAGTAAAAAAAAAAAAAAAATGAAACTAAGAGCTGGTTCCTTGAAAAGATAAATTGATAAACCTTTAGCCAAATTCATCAAGAAAAAAGGAGACAGCCCAAATCTATAAAATCAGAAATAAAAAGTTACTAACAATACCGAATTAAAAGATTGTAAAGAGAGATTACCATGACTATAGTAATCTATATGCAAATAAAATGGACAACCTATAAGAAACAAATTCATAGAAACGTACAGTCTCCCAATCCTGAATCAGAAGGAAATAGAAAATATGAACAGACCAATTACAAGTAATGAAATTGAATCAGTAATGGAAAAAATACTCCCAAGAAACAAAATTCCAGAACCAGACAGCTTCACAGGTGAGTTCTAACAAACATTTAGAGAAGAATGAACATCTATTCTTCTTAAATTATTTCCAAAAATTTGCAGAGGAAGGAACACTTCCAAACTCATTTTATGAGGCCACATCACCATGATACCAAAACCAGACAAAGATATCACAGGAAAAAAATTACAGGGTCAGTATCATTGATGAACAGAGATGCAAATCAATGGAAGAGAATAGAGAGCCCAGAAATAAACCCATGCATCTATGGTTAATTAATCTATGACAAGGAGGCACGAATATCCAACAGGGAAAAGACAGTCTCTTCAATAAGTGGTGCTGAGAAAATACAACAGCTACTTATAAAGAATGAAATTAGAAGGAGTTGCTCATGCCATTACAAAAATAAACTCAAAATGGATCATAAACCTATATGTAAGACTGCAAACCATAAAAACTCTTAATAGCATAGGCAGAACTCTGATATAAATTGTAGCAATATTTTCTGGATGTCTCCTAAGGCAAAGACGACAAAAACAAATGGTACCCAATTAAACTTAAAAGCTTTTGCACAGCAATGGAAACCACCAACAAAAAGATTACCTACTGAATGGAAAAAAATATTTGCAAATATAACTGATAAGGGGTTACTATCCACAATGTATAGACAACTCATACAACTTTATATCCAAAAAAATTCATTTCAAATTTTAATTAAAAATTTATTTCAAAATTTAATATCAAAAAATTTAATTGCCCACCTAAAAATGGACCCGAATAGACATTTTTCCAAATAACACATACAAATAGCTAATGGGCACATAAAGAGATGCTTGTATTATTTAAAGAAATGCAAATCAAAACAATGAGACATTACCTCACACTTGTCAGAACGGCTATCATTAAAATGTCTACAAATATCAAATGTTGATGAGAACATGGAGGAAAAGGACCCCTTGTACGTATTGGTGGGAATATAAATTGGGGCAGCCACTATGGAATATGGAGATTCTCAGACTAAAAGTAAGATTACCATATGATCCAGCAACTCAACTTCTGGTTATATATCGAGAAAAAGTACAGTCATTAATTTGAAAAGATGCATGTACCCCAGTGTTCAGAGCAGCACTATTTACAATAGCCAAGACATGGAAGTAACACAAATGTCCATCAATAGATGAATGGACAAAAGATGTGGTATATGTACACACTAGAGTACTACTCAGCCATAGGAAAGAATGAAACTCTGCCATTTGCAGCAACATGGATAGACCCAGAGAAGACTGTGCTGAGTGAAATAAATCAGAGAAAAGTCAAACACTGCATGATATTATTTATAGGTAGACTCTAAAAAAAATTAAATATATGTATATAGCAAAAAAACCTGACTCAATGGATACAGAAAACTATTGGTTACCAGTAGAAAAGAGGGAAGTGAGAAGGGACAAGGTAGGGGTAGGTACAGACTACTATGTATAAAATATAATATATTGTACAACACAGGGAATATAGCCAATATTTTACAATAACTTTAAATGGGGGTATAATCTGTAAAAAACAACAACTTTGAATTACTATGAAGTATACCTGAAACTAATATAATTTTGTACATCAACTATAGTTTAAGACAACAAATTGAATGGCTTGTCAACAAAGCAAATTGAGAGACATTATGACCTTCTGCTACTATACTGTCATAATTGGTGGAGGTCAAGGATTCTGTAAAAGCTTTCTAGGAATTAGCTAAGGTAAAGACAGACTAACTTCTTTTGATTCAACTAATGGACTGACTTGCTGATGATAGATAATTCCTCTTTCCCCTTGATACTGCCTAAAATGCTTGGACTTCATGCAATTGGCAATAGGATGCCAAGTTTAAAATCAAATTTCAAATACTATGGAAAAATTTTTGTACTTCCCACTCCATCCACCCTAAAATGAAGCCTGTATTGTCTGATATAGCTTGCATCTAGTCTTAACAGGCTTGTGCCCTCATTGCTAATCCAGGGATTTGTAGCATCACCTTTCACAAAGATGCATAGGCTAAATAACCTAAGGTTCCCAAGAGTCATAGACCACACAAACTGGCTCCAATAAGATTACTCACCGGCAGCACACTTCAAAGGGATCTACCCATATGGTCATCTCCTTTGGAAGTCCCAGGTGAGAAAAATCCACATTACTCTCAGCACAAGCCCTTTCTAGAATAGGATCTTTATTCTGATTATTGTTTATCCTGATACACCTTTAAAAATGAAAAGGGAAACGACGTGGTGATAGTTGGAGAATCATGCTGCTGGCAAGGGTTTCTAATACACCTGGCTCCCACCTCACTCCCATCTTCCCTTAACTCCTTCATCACCCCTCGGAAGTTTTACGGTAAGAGTAAAATATCACATTTTTACATAACAACTCAGAATATGGATTCCATTACTAAATCACACAATTAGTTCACCAAATGTGCTCAGTCGTGTCCAACTCTTTGTGGCTCCATGGATTGTAGCCCACCATGCTCCTCTGTCCATGGGATTTCCCAGGCAAGGACACTGGAGTGGGTTCACGTTTCCTGCTCCAGGGGATCTTCCTGACCCAGGGATCAAACCCTCGTCTCGAGTCTCCTGCATTGGCAGGTGGATTCTTTACCACCAGAGCTCCCTGGGAAAACTAAAGGTTCTCTGTATATACTTCACAGTAAACACAAATTAGAAATTGTTTAATCCACCTCGTACAAGGAGGTTTGCTCTATAGTTTTCAAACTGTGCTATCATCTACTGCTCTCCTCTTTTCAAGCCCAAGTTCAAACAAGTAAATTTTCATTATTTACAGGCGGCCAACAGTCATTGCAGGCGGTAGCTGCAATGCAAGCCAGCATTGCTGGCTTGTTACTGGCCTTTGCCATGCATACCACATCCTAGCTCTCACCTGAAGGCTTGCCCTTTAGAAGGGTGATCAGAGTGCCAGTGACTTCTGTATGTTTCAAACAAGATTGTCATCAGCTTTTCTGCAAAGTCTTCTATTTGCTGTTTATTCAGTTTATCATGTTTTTTCACTAATCTTGTTACAAAGAAGACTGTTGTTGCTATTTCATCTCTCATGATTCAAGAAGAGCCTATAAGGAGGTCTGAAACCATTGAAAGGAAGCAAGAAGAAATTAAACGGAAACAAGGGTCTAACTTATTATCAGCATGTAATTACCATTTGGAAATTTTATATATGTACCTTAAATTTAAAACAGAAGTTACTTGCTAGTCCTTAATGAACTTAAAAAAGCACATCAATACTATCAACAAAACAGCCAAGCAAACCAATTCCTCAACTAACCTTTAATGATTCTCAAAGAAAAAAAAAATTTAAATACTGTAATATACTTAAACAAATGATTATGCAAATTAAATGTTTTTAAAGTCCAGACCCAGGAGAGTAAGTTACACCAAGCACTACTGTTTAAAAACATATTTACAAAGAGCAAAAACATTTCAGGATATAGTCATTCCTAAAATGTGGCTTTCAGGTTGCACACTCAAAAGGTAAGATTAATCAAATATATATTATTATACTTGCCAGCGAAAGATCTTTAGCCCAGCAGAAAGGGGGCCAGAGTCAGAAGCCACTCTCACCACACCTGGTTTGTCAGGTCCAGCCTGCAGTTTATATAAACCTGGGTTCTGAGGCCGGATAGGCTTTCTTCACCTTACACAGCTGCTGCCCTTCAGGATAACTGACAGCTCTTTCCAGGTCCCCATCAAATTGCTCCTTGGCATACACAGAGGATATTCGTTACGTAAAGCGTTTAAAGATTTTCAAACTGGATTTCTATCTTCTGTTTTGCTATCAAAGTCCCATCTTTTATGACATAAATGAGAATCAATCCTTCTCCTTCCAAATTCTAAGAGCCTACATTCCATATTTTTGTCTCTCATTTTGTCTCTCATAATTGTCAACATATTAACGCATTTTGTCTTGGATCTTTTTTAAAATTAAATACAACTTTCTTTGAACAGTCATTGTGTTGACTCCACACATTTTTCACTGTAAAATAAGTGGGAAAGACCTCAAAGTATATCTAGTCTTACTAGTTCTCAAAGGGTAGGTCACTGATCACCTGATTTGGACCCGCTGAGCTGCCTGTTAAAAATGCAGATTTCAGGGCTTTATCCCAGATCCACTGAATCAGTACCTCTAAAGGCAGGTCTGGGAATCAGTATTTAACAAGTTCCCCCTGGTGATTCTTATACCCACTGAATTTAAGAACCATTACACCCTGAATATGTCTTTAACACCCATGGTAAGTGGTCATTCAGGTTCTTTGTCAGTGAAAAAAGAGTTTTCTCTTACAAGTAAGCAGATTTCTTTTCCAAAAAAGCCCCAAATGCCAGGCAGTCCCTCTTCTTGAGAAGCTACATCCACCTCTTTTGATTCTCTATTTGTACAGTCTAGTTTTTCCCTCTGGAACATACAGATTTTATCTAATTCTCCACCACAGGAAGACACTCCAAATACTAGCTATTGAGCCTCCCCTGAGCCGCCTCTTTAGGGAGAGCACTAACCATTCTTAGTTTTTCAGTAGTTCTTCCCGTAGACGTGTTACCCAGACATTTCACCACTCACATCTGGATGAGTTTCAGGTGCGTCAGTAATCCTCTTCTAAAGGCTGGAGCCCAGAATCCCGCACAGTGCTCCAAGTGTACTCTGCCATAATGGAATAGAATGGACTGATACCTTGCTCTGACACCCGTGTGTCTAGAACACAGCCTCAGCTGGCATTTGCCTTCGTGGTAGCGCCATCACGTCTCTGCTTCACGCTGAACTACTAACAGCCAAGCAGTCTTTTTCACTAATGCTATTGTTTTGTCACATCTTTCTCTCCTACACGATATAATGTTTAAGAATATGAGCTTTAAGAACTGAGTAGAAATTTTTTCAAAGAGAGAATACAGGATGGCCAACAGGTGTACGAAAAGATGTTCATCATAGCTAATCATCAGGGGAATGCAAATCAAAACGACAGTGAGTTACTTCACAACTATCAGAATGGCTATCATCAAAAAGAACACAAATAAATGTTGACGAGGATGTGGGAAAAAAGCGGAACACTTGTACACTGTTGGTGGGAATGTAAATTGATGTGGAAAACAGTATGGAGGTTTCTCAAAACACTAAAAATACAACTACCATATGACCCAGAAATTCTGCTCCTGGCTATATTAAAAAAAAATCAAAAATATTAATTTGAAGAGATAATATGCACCCCAATGTTCAAAGCAGCATTATTTACAATTGCCAAGACATGGAAGCCACTTAAGTGTCCATCAATTGATGAATGGATAAAGATGTCACACACACACTTGAATATTACTCAGTTATTTAAAAAAAAAAAAAGAAGAAGCAGAACTTTGCTACTTGCAGCAACATGGGTAGACTTGGAGGGCAGATAAAGACAAGCACTGTGTGATATAACTTATATGTGGAAGCTAAAAAATACAACAAACGAGTGAATACACAAAAAAAGCAGCAGACTAGTGAGGTGGGTGGAAAAGGCAATTTAAGGGTGGGAGAGTTGGGGGGCACAAACCATTGGGTGTAAGACAGGCTCAAGGATATATTGTACAACAGGGAATCTAGCCAATATTTTGTAATAACTGTAAATGGAAAGTAATCTTTTAAAAACGTATTAAAATATTTATTTTTTAAAAAATAAATTAAAAAATAATGGGCTTGGAGTCAGGCAGACCTGGGTATAAACTGCAACTTTTCAACTCACTATGCACGTAACCCTGGGCAACTTGCTTAACTTCTCAAACTTCGTTTCCTGAAATGAACAATAGCGACCTCATAGGGTTGTTAGTGAGATTACAACTAATAATCTTTTTTTTTTTTTTTAATTTTTATTAGTTGGAGGCTAATTACTTTACAATATTGTAGTGGTTTTTGCCATACATTGACATGAATCAGCCATGGATTTAATGGGGTGCACGTGTCTCTTTCAGATCTGGTTTCCTCGGTGTGTATGCCCAGAAGTGGAGATCGAAAACTCCCAGATGGAGGTGCCGGGGATTGAACCTGGGGCCTCGTGCATGCTAAGCACGCCCTCTACCACTGAGCTACACCCCCGATAACTAATAATCTTTTGTATTGGAGCATCTTGTCTAGGGCCTACCTAGCAGTTGTTAGAGGAAGGCAGTGCAGCAGAGTAGTTAAGAAATAAGTTACAAAATCAAGCGTCATGAGATTGACTCCCAGTCCTCTAGCTGACTAGAAACCTGGAGCAGTTTCTCAACTTCTATAATTTAAAAAAATCTTTATAAAAAGGTGGGTAAGCCGTGTGTACCTAAGGCCTTGGAATCCGACTGCCAGATGTGGATCCTAGCTGAATTTACTGGATATAGTAAGTGCTCAAAAGTGCCTTTCTTATCATTAAATATGTTGATTTATTTATTAAATCATGTTAATAAACTTTTTTAAAAAGTTATTCCTTGCCCAAAGGGTGGCCTGCAATCATTGACTGGCTGGTGTGAGGGGAAAAAAACCTGGCCCTCCTGCCTCAGTGAGCAACAACTCTGAAAAGCCATCTCATCTCCAGAGCTCCCATAAGATAGGCAGAGGCCTCAACAACAACCAGATCACTGGCCCTACTCTCCCTCTTCCCAATCCTCTTTCTCACTCCCTTATGGGTGTATCTCTCAACAAAACTCCCCAATAAACCTTCTGCATGAAACTCCCCATCGCAGATTCTATTTCTAAGAAGCTCAGTCTAAGACAGTTTGTATCAGGAATGTTTAAGGAAGCAGACTCTAAAATGGGATTTGAGGAGTAGGTTACAAACCTGCTGGCTGGAATAAAAACCTTATCCTTGGTGGTAGCAGAATATGGATATATTTGACTCCAGGCATGCTGGTGTGGTATGATTGTTACAAACCTCGCCAGTGATGAACTGAGATGGAATACAGATAGTAGGAGGTGCATTGGCTATTGTAATATCTTTGATGCTGAAGAGATATGCGAAATGATAATACAAGGACTGTGGAAACAGATGCTTAAACACTTTGATGTCTAGTAAAAACATGATTTAATAAGATTTGTTCAGTTCGATTCAGTGAGTATTTAAGTGGTGCTAGTGGTAGAGAACCCACCTGCCAAAGCAGGAGACATAAGAGACGCGGGTTCGATCCCTGGGTCGGGAAATTCCCCTGGAGAAGAGAATGGCAACCCATTCCAGTATTCTTGCCTGGAGAATCCCATGGATAGAGGAGCCTGGTGGGCTACAGTCCATGATTTGCAAAGAGTCAAACACAACTGAGTGACTAACACTTCATTTCACTATAAACTGGGAACATATAAAGGTGAGACTAGTCCTTCCATTTCTACAGTATATTAGTTACTTCAGCTGCCTGATGTGTTATTCATTCCCCTTACTCAATGGCAGGAGTTCTCAACCTGCTGTACTTGGAATCACCTGAATATCTTTTTAAAAATACAGATGCCTAGCTCCTACCCCTAGATATTCTGATTTAACTGATATGGAGTGCCGCCTGGGGCATCAGGATTCTTTAAAAATCTCCAAGTGATTCTAACAGGCAGCCAAGTTGGAATATCATTAAGATAGATTAGCTATCAAGACGATTTTAGCTTTATTTAACACTTTTGAATGCTTAGTAATGCCTTAAGCTTAACAAAGATTATGCCAAATTTGCATCATTTATTCTCATCGTTTCTAGTCTTTGCTGAGATAACTTTTGCAAGGTTTTTTTTTTAACTTAGAGGTGACAGAATTGAATATCAGGATGGCTACTCATACATATATTGCTGAAATAAAATGTGCTTCAGAACCAAAAGTAACCTATGTATTAGCACATACTCAAATTTTTCCTTTTCAAATAGTTTGGTTTGCATTTACAATATTAAAATGGTATTGAATAATTCTTCCATTATTTCACGTTCCCGGATGACATGCCATTCTCTTGCACGCTGAGTTGGTGAAAGACATTAACTGATGAAGTTTTGAATCGTTTCCTTGCATTGTTTTCTGCAACAGGTCCAGGCAGGCCTTGGAAGTTATGAATAGAACAGTAGGGCAACAATGTACTTAGATTTCAGGAAAGAACAATCAAATAGAAACTAACATCTCGCAAGACTTCCTTCAGTTACTTGTTTATGATGATCTTAAACACCATATTTAAATCACCTCCTACGCATTAATGACAATTATACTTTCTGTTATAACTAACATTTACTCTGTGCTTTCGGTAACTATCTACTGACAATCCACTACATATTAGCACTGCTACGCTGCTGTGGGCTTAAAAAAAATTTCAACGTTCAACAGGTTTGTTTTCTAGAGAAAGAAATCACCCAAGACCATTTGGATGCAGAGCTTGAGAAATGGAATACTCAAAAATTACTTCAAGTTTCAAGCATTAGTGACCAAGACAATAATGTTATCATTGAAATAACTGAGTTCACCAGAATAGCCCAGAAAAAAAGAACAATGGTTGGTTCAGAATGAGGTCTGCTGAGTTTCTTTACAGCAATTAAATACACAAATAGTAATGTCCATTGAAAAGGTACTAGAATTTATTGGAAGGTTCAGCCTGGGCAAGCCTAAGGCAACTTCATATTTAAGTGGAATAGAAAATAGCTATTGAATTTTGAAGACAAAAATGTCAGCTCTCTCATTATTTTTGTGTAATGTATAAAATTCCCACTATCAGATATTCATTCCTTTGATTTAGATACTGTCTTTCCAGGATTTCCAGATGAGTTACCCATAGTAGAGGGGGCTTCCCAGGAAGCTCAAATGGTAAAGAATTTGCTTGCAATGCCGGAGACCTGGGTTCGATCCCTGGGTCAGGAAGATCCCTTGGAGAAGCGAATGGCAACCCACTCCAGTGTTCTTGCCTGGAGAATCCCATGAACAGAGGAGCTGGCGGGCTACAGTCCATGGGTTCACAAAGAGTCGGACACAACTGAGCAACAAACATACACACATTCATAGCAGAACAAAAGAATTGTGTTCCACCTGGCAAAGTTTGGGAGAGCAGAGAAAGCCTGGAGGAGGCACCACAGAAAATGGCAGTTACGTGAGGTTTCTGGTCATACAGGCTAAGGATGAAGAACAGAAGAAAAGAGAGCATCAGAGACAGATTTTACCTTATTAGACCTGAAACACAGACTCAAACAGTTTAAAACATGAAAATAACCCAAAAGATCTTCTAGAATAACAGTTTCCAGAATCACATTTCTTCATTTTAACATGAGGGAATTCAACTCGCTTGCTACTGTATCTTCAAGCCCCAAGGTTCACCAACAAAGATTTATCTTGAAATCTGTCTTCCTAGTTTTAGCTGAACTTCAGCTATAAAATAAAACTATCTGTGCATATGTTTTCAAATAGGCAAAATAATTTTAAAATATCATCTAAATTGGACAAAAAATTGATTGGACTTTCCATGTCATAGCTAGTAGCCTTTATAATCAGACCTCTGATTTTCATCAGCTTCCCTTCCTTAAATTGAAAATTACATCCATAGACTCATCCAGCTGTTTGCAAAGGCACATCATTGCTAATGAGGGAAAAAATACAGTTGCTTTAGCAAAACTCCCACTCAAGCAGAAAGTGCATTTTTTGATAAGGGCAACTAAATAGCACCATTTTTTAAAGCAGTGAACTAGCCTACAACCCACACAGCAAGTCACTCCTGTTAAATTTGAATTACATACAAGGGAAGTCACATTAATTGTGGAAATGAAATTGCATATGCTAAAATGTTATCTAATAAAAATCTGCAGTCATGTAATGTTCATTTGAACCCAAAAGAAATTAAGTTTAGAGCTGCCTAATCCACTAATAAGTGAAACTCATTTACTGATCAACTAAATGAACCTTAAACTATATGCTACTTCTTTTTGATAAAGTTACCTACAAGTGTTTTATTTACCACAAGCCTTTTTCCTACTTTATTTGTATTTTCCATGTGCATGATGAAGCACACATAATGGTTAAGTGGCATTGCCCTGGAGGGCACAAAAATGTCTGTATCACAAAAATGTCTGTAGCCTGCCAGGCTTCTCTGTCCACAAGAGTCTCTGTATCATGCATCAAGTTGGAAACCAAGTCAGCCCACTAAAAATAATTCAGGGTGTAAGAAATTGTATAGACAAGATTCTGTGCTAATAAATGTGTGTTATACAGAACAGCATTCTCTAATACTGCATTAGCCAAAAAGTTCATTTGGGTTTTTCCATAAGATATTACAATAAACTGCTGCATTCATTGCAATATTAATTGCAACATTATAATTACAGACTGATTTCAAAACTGAATTTAAGTATTGAATAATAATACTGTCTTACTAATGGAAGATACAAATTGTAGAGTGAATACATTAAGTGCAAAGAGTTAGAAAAGGGAAATAACAAAATTAACTAAAAGCACCAGGAAAGATTTTACCCAGGAAGTGGAAGCTAAGCTTGAGATTTAAATCAGCAGTAGATGAGCTAAGAGAAGGACAATATGAACTTTACTAAATGTCAGCAAGATGAAATCCTTAAGATATATTCCATGTTTGCAGAGGAAATAAAGACAATAAATGTTATGTAATTCTCAAAAACTAAAGGATATAAATTCTACCTGGAAAAAAAGACTTAAGTACCAAATGTGGGGAGTAGAAACAAAAACAAGAATAAGTAGACATAGAGTGATGCTTAAGAGAATCATACTTGAAAGCATTTTCCTTCTTGTAAACAATTAACAAGATAGCCAATTTCCCCTTTTAGTTTCACAGAGCTCTTAAAGAGAATAGACTTTCTTCAGCTGTCCACTCTGCTTACTTGTTAGCTATACTGAATCCCTAGAATTGTCAAGTTATTTCTAAAAATCTTGAAAATCTACCTGAGGTGGGTTTTTGGGGGGTTTTTTTGTTTGTTTGTTTTGAGAGGTGACAGAGATCAATCAGTGGTGAAAAGCAGTCAGGAAAGTTAATCTGTTTAGTAATAGCCTAGAGAAGTTCATTGCCCTTTGAAAGTCCCATTGAATCAAGCCCTGAAGTAACCTTCTGGTGGAGCCAGTGGTCATCCTCTGCCCTCTGGCTAATTCCACTGACAAACTTTATGATGTGGTGGTGTCAAGGCAGCAGTTTCCTTTGAATTCATATGTGTCTATGACCCTGTTTAAAACAGCTTGACTTTTGTGAGAGTCCGCTCTTCTGCTTCTCTTGTGGACCAACCTTCCTCAAGGTTTATTTCCGCCTGCCAGCCCCTAAATAGGAAATGGACGCTCTCAAAGTTGGGTCCTGAGCCTTTCGTTTTCCTCATTCTATTCTCTATTCAAGAAAAGCACATTACTGGAACTTCCCAGGGGTCTAGTGGCTAAGACTCTGCACTCCCAATACCTGGCACAGCCAAATTTAAAAAGAAGAAAACAATTTTAGCAAATTTTTTAAAAAAAGCACATTGCTGAAGTCCACCTACTCCTGAGTGAGCCACAGCACGCTCTGGAGATTCAGTGAAAAATAAGACAACATACCTCTCTTGGTGATCTAATTTATCCTCATAACTTCAACTACTACAGCTTCAGAAAAACTACTAAATTTCTCCTTTCAGTTCTGGTCTTTTTCCAGAGTTCCACCTCCAAATAACCCAACTCCATCACAATGTCCTTCCATTACTTACAACTATACACACCTAAACCTAAAATACCTCATAATTCTCCTCTAAGTAGATCTGCCTGCCAACATCTCTACTTGTCACTGAAACCTGGAGGTTGATTCTGTCCTCTCCTTCTTCACTCTAACTAGTCACCAAAGCCCTGTGAAGCCTCCCTTCACAAAGCCTCTCTCATTCAGACCGTATGTTCTATGTGACTCTATGCCTGGGCTATTAAAATAATCTCATAAATGGACCTTCAGTCTCCTCTGTCTCTCCCTCTTCTAATCTATGTCACTTTATTAATCTCCATAAAACAACATGTCATGTAAGTCATAGGTACCTCTGACAGAAGAATAAGATTAAAATTCCCTGGCCAGATACCTAGAGTCCTCCAAGATCTATCTCCTACTTAACTCCTCTCTGATCTTATTACTATTTCCCCAATGCTCTCCCATCCACCATGTGTATTACTGTCTCCACACATTTGCTTGTGTTTTTTTCTTCATAAGTTGCTCCTATTACCAAGAGCATCCTCTCCATCTTCTCCCTTTATCTATGTCCTACTTTTCCTTCTTAGACCCATATTTCCCACACAGCCTTCTCTGTGTGCCAGTCGTTGGTGTTTTTCTTCTTTCCTTTTTCCTAAATGCTTGGCAACAACAAAGCTCACATTAGTATTCAGGAGTCTTGAAACACCTATTAATCTAACTATCTTAGTACTTAAGATCATTATATATTACATAAGTATATAAATAATACACAACTTATTATATTGTATATATTAATAAAATTAATATACTATCACTACCTTAATTACATATTGTAGAAATTATCTATCTCTCTATTAATAGACCATAGATCCCTAGATTGTGTTCTATAAAGATGATAAATATGCAACAAGCTTGCTCCTGCTGCTAAGTCATAACCAAGAGTTCAAGCAACTCTAATTATAAAGCTTATATTTTAGATTGTTTCTGATTTACTAAAAGATAAATCAATTTAACATTTTCATATAGAAGGCAACAGTATTGATTAATCAATAAACAGAAACTGAAGATAATCAAGAATCTGGTGCACTCTTACTAATGAGAGTACAATGAAATGCAATCAGAAGTATAAAATTAGAAAAGTTGCTGGCAGTTCATTTTAGCTTGAAAAAAATCTCCTCTCATAATTAAACAGATTCACTGATTTTTAGTTCTTCAAAGGCACCACACTGACTTCAATCTAGTCTTGCTTCAACAAATAAACTAGTTCTTATTTATAGTATCATGAATATTAATAAAATATTCTAATAGTTATTGATCTATATAGAAATCAAAACATGGTTTTATATTTCTTCAAAGAAAATGTACCCTTTAAAAAAACAGGTTTAAAAAGAAGCTGCTAAACTCCAATCACTTCTCCTCAGTCTGATTGTTCACGTCTTCCTGCCTGACAAAAGCTATGGAGGACTTCCTGGGTGGTCCAGTAGTTAAGAATCCACCTGCCAATGCAGGGGACCCTGGTTCAATCCCTGGTCCAGGGGGATTCCACATACCACGGGGCTACTGGCTGTTGAGCCACAGCTCCTGAAGCCCATGCTCTGCAACAAGAGAAGCCAATGCACTGCAGCCTGAGAGCAGCCCCCCGCTCACCACAGCTAGAGAAAACCTCAATGCAGCAATGGCAACCCAGCGCAGCCAAACATTTTTTAAAAATTAAATGAAAAGAAAAAAGCTATGGAAGTTAGAAAATGTCCAGGCAGCAATTTGTGTATGCTGAAAGCAGTGCATAAGCTTTCACCATCTTTTGTAATTCCCAGCTCTCATCACTCTAGTTTTTATTTCAGAGTGTTAAGTTTAGCCAATATAATAAACTTGCTAAAGCAGGACGTGTTTGTTTTCTACACTCTTCTTGCTTTCCTCCTAACAACCAATCTCACCTCCTTTCTTTAGTGCACCGTCCCCATCTCCCTAATCACCAAATGCCCAGAAATCAAATACAACAGTAAACAAGCCCCTGAATAGTACCTTCCTGGTACTGTATAAAACAAATGCAATCTTCTGTTTGGGCATTTAAAAACACCACAAGCATTCTTACTTAGATTAAATCATGGATCTCCCTGGTCTCCAGGCATGTCTCGACATGAACCATAAAGGGAATGAGATCCTTGGAGTTTCTCTAGTAACTGCAGGCCAAACCAACAGCAACCCTAAGAACAAGCATTCTTTTTTTTTTAAGCAAAACTAACCCACACACATTTTGTTAGGTTATTTTTTTAGTTGCACTACCTACAAAATAAACTGCATTTTAAATGTTTGATTTCAGTAGGCAATGCATATTGATGACTTTTACATATGAATTTTCTCCTTTTTTATCATCTTTGAAGAAAAGTTTTAAAAATCTAAATTTCAAGGCATCTACCTGCAACCACTGCCTTGGATGGCAGCAATTCAGCTCAGGTAAGACATGTAAGATGCAGCTAATAATCATAAAATATCAATAAGGAAGAGGTATTAAATATTGTATTGGGTAAAAATGACTAACAATTTGAAAGAATTGCCTTTGTATCCACGTCCTAACCAAGACTTATAAGATTGCATATGGTTAATGGAATGGAAGCTATTTTATTTATATATGTATATTTAACTAGAAAGTACAAATTGAACTCTACAGTTATCTCTAGAGAGTTTAGAGGTTAGCTAACTCTGATTACAGCATGTTGCCTGATAATGGCTTGGTATACTATACATGTTAAAGGCTTATGAAGCATTTATGTAATGTGTTCAATAACGTCATGCTCTCCCAAAGATATGATGAATACAAATCACTGTTAGTTGTAAATAACCTGCCTTTTGCAATTTAACAGGTTAATTTTTACAATTAACATTTTCTGTATTGTACATTTTATACCTTAGTTTCTTGCTTTTCACTTTGGTATACACAGAGCAAATGATGCATTTAACAAAAAAAAAAGTACTGTTTTTCATATTCAAAGATAATGCTATAACTTACTCAAATTCATCCTTTAGAAGATGTTCTTCAGGTGTTTTAAGAATGTGAGTTTGGAAAGTGTGTTGAATGATATAGATCATCTGGGCCTATCCATGTTGAGTGGCATCTGTTGAGACCACTTGCTGGGTTTAGGGAATCAGCCTATAGCTAGGGAGTTTTCCTTTGTGGACAATCACTTAGAATTAAGATATTTGGGTTAATAATGAGTACTCCATCCTGGGTGCATAAAGATCAAAGGGAGGGCTACTTCCAGTTGAGCCCTAGAAAGTGTGTAATCAAACAATATTCTTTATTCTCTCCTGATTCATGCACTGAAAAAAACAAAGGGAAGGAGTAACTAAGGGAAAGAATTATTAGTAGAGGTCTCCCAGAAATCCTCACTATCCTCTTCGCTCAGTCTACTCCAAATGCACACATAAACACATCTACATCCTCAAATGTGGAACTGGGAGAATAAGAAAATGCAACTGGTCACAAAACACCGTCTTCCTTCCACAGCCCTCACCCTGAACGTCCAAAACGACGCTGGCTTCAAGGACCTACTCTAGTACCACCTCCTCCATGCCACTTCCCTAACCGATTATAGTTCTCCTTCATGGCCCACCCCGCTCACTTCTATTTCTACGCCCCCCCTTGGGCATTTACTAGGCACTGTTTTGTATAGTAAATAATGTGTGTTCATTTTGTGTTACCATCTAGGTTGTACATAGGGAGGGTGGAACGACCCTAGGGGCTGAACATATAGCAGGGATTGAAATAAACAATGTACCAGAAGTAGGCATAGTTTTGCCTAAAGTTGACCCGGGCTCGACTCCTGGGTTGGGAAGATGCCCTGGAGAAGGAAATGGCAACCCACTCCAGTATTTTTGCCTGGAGAATCGCATGGACTGTAGCCTATCAGACTTCTCTGTCCATGGGGTCGCAAGAGTTGGACGCGACCTAGCGACTAACCACCAAAGCTGACCTAGAGGATACGAAACTTCGGCCTCGACCTTAAGAGGACCACCCTCCGATCTAACGAGCTGGCCGGCTCCCTCTCTTGACTAAAACAAGACCTGGCTCCCACCCCCACGGAATGGCCCTCCGACAGTGTGAGAGCACCCAACGGGAACACAAGAGGGCGGACGCGACCTCACGGGCACTCCTCAGGCATCTTACGGGCCACGCGGGCCAACCGCTCTTCAAAAACCTGGAGCCAACCAACTGATACTCCAGCAAGCCGTTTTCCCTGACGGGGATGGGTTTTGAAAACTGGGAGGAGGGCCTGGGGTTTCTTGGGGGCGGGGACCCGGCCCCCACTCGCCCGCCCCGCCCCCTCCACCCGCGGGGCTCCGAGGGCGGTTGGTCGGCCACGGCCACGGTCACTTGGCCACTCGGAGCGGCGGGGCGCACGGGGTCGAAAGAGCCGGCTCGAAGGGTTGGGGCCCAGAACTGAAGAGAAGTTTCCTGGGGCTGGCCGGGCCCGGCTGAGGGAGGTGGGAGCCGGCCCGAGGAGAGCGGAGGGGAAAGGGAAGGGAAGGAAGGGAACCTGAGAGGCAGAGCCCCGGGAGGCGGGGAGACTGCGGGCCGGGGACGCGGGGTCGGGCGCTCAGTGGTCCAGGTGGGGCCAGCCGGCCGGGCGCCCCCGGGAGTCACCTGGGCCTGGGGTGGGGGCCGAACCCGCGGGCGGCAGGTTCCCGCTGGAGCGCTGCCCGCCGGCCTCGCCAAGGGTGCCCGGCACGTCCGGCGGGGGCCCCGCGCAGCCCCACGGGCCGAGCGAGAGTCGCTGGGGGGCGGCTCGGAGGCGACCTCTCGGGACCCGCGTCCTGGGCCTCGCGCCCCGGCAGTGTCGGGTGTCGCCCCCGGGGAAATGTGGGGTCGCGGCGGGCCCGATCCCTCCCGCCGCCTGCTCGGGGACACTGCGTCGGCGCTGCGAACCGTCTGAGAGCTTCGAGCTCGCGGGCGCCCGGTGCTCGGTTTGTAGGCAGTGTAATTAGCTGATTGTACTCTCGTGCTTACAATCACTAGTTCCACTGCCATCAAAACAAGGCACAGCATCACCCGCCGCCCTGCCGGGAGGAAGACGCCACCCTCGGCGGCTAACCGCCGACCCCAAGCGTTCGAGAAGAGTGCCCAGGGTTTCGAGATCTGATGCGTCAGCGTTTAGCGCTGCTGGCCGAGCACGTTGTCAGCTTGCTAGTAACCCCCTTACAAACTCCTGCAAGCTGCTGCTTCTAGATACTGTTAAACTGTTAGCCGTCTCTAGGAGTAGAAGCAAAACGGTGCAATCCCATGTAAACAAAGCGAAATCCGTGGTGTTGAATGGCCTTAAGACTTCTTAACTGCTGGGTGGAGCCCCCACGTAGCGTTTAATGCTGTTTGCTGTGATTCGTTGTGCCTGTTTTTCATTATTTAGTACTTCAGTTCAGTCGCTCAGTCGTGTCGGACTCTTTGTGACCCCATGGACTGCTGCACGCCAGGCTTCCCTGTCCATCACCAACTCCCGGAGCTTTCTCAAACTCATGTCCATCGAGTCGGTGATGCCATCCAACCAGCTCATCCTCTCATTCTTTAGTAGGGTATTCACCAAGTCACCAAGTGAGCTACTACTGAACCGGTACTTTGCCTATTACAACGAATGGAGCACCAACCTGAAACGCAGTTTGTGATCAACATAAACCTTTTTCCTGTGAGTCTAGTTACTAGGCAGTGTAGTTAGCTGATTGCTAATAATACCAATCACTAACCACACGGCCAGGTAAAAAGATTTGGGAATTCATCCAAATGAGCTGCATGTATATATCAATATGGGGGGCTTGGCGAGGGGATTGGGATTTGCTGCTATTGCCCTTTGCTTATTTATCAATAGCTTAACCAAGAGAGAAGTCAACATTTTAGGTGCTAAATATATGATGTATGTTATATATATATATATATGATTTTTCAATATTCCTTCAGTCTCTGAACCAAAAAAATGTTCAGATATATTGGAGAGTAGAATTTTTTTCCTTAGCTGTCATTGTATAGATTTGTAATTGTCAACTTTTGAACTATATTTTTGTGAGAGACTGTATTAATATCTTGCAAGAATAAATTGCCATAAGGAAATGAAATTGTGGTTATTACCAATGTGTTCATGTCCTTTCCTAAATTGGTTTTATGATTTCCATCTCAATTCCTCCCACAGTAATTACAACTTTCCTATCGCTGAAAGAGTTAAATTGTTCCTAGATTAACCAGATCTCCGGGGAAAGCTACACACATAACACTTGTACACATTTTTGTAGAAACATATTAACAAAAATGTTCATAGTGTATTTTTCATCCCACTTACCCATTTACAACTCGTGCCGTAAAAGCAGCTTTTAGTGGGACTGACAATCTAAATCAAGCTTCTTTCCGTAAGATTGGCCTAACAGATTCAGGGGGCTAATGTGTAAAAAACTATACACACAGGTCACCTATCAGCCCAGTTCCGACCTCTAGCTACCATAGGCTATGATGTTAGCTGCCCTGTTGATTTCATCAACCAATGCAGGCCCAGAACCTCCCCATAGAGGGTGCTGCGCTACAGCAATCTGGTGTGGAAAAGGGTTTGGGGCGGTGGAACTAAGGAACTGAAAGCTTTATTTAGATCCGTTTGGGGAAAAGGTAACTGGTCTGGCGGGGATAGGAGGAAGGAGGGTGGGGGGAAGGAGGCTGAGGATGAAAAAGCTGAAGTGCTCCCCCACTGATTCAAACAGGACAAGACGCCTCAAAGTGGATGCTTTGACTCTCCTATTTGGACCCCAAGGCTTAGACAGGTCCCGAAGCCTGTGATCACTGCAGAAATGAGATTCAGGCGACCCACAAGCGCGCGCCAGACCCCAACATCTACCGAGCAAACCAAGGGCTTCCGGCCGTGGCGGTTGCCAACTTGGCGGGTTTCCGGAGTGAGGGCGGGGCGGGGCTGAGAGACGGGCAAAGGAGCTTGGAGAAGCGTCCTGAGTTGCCATGGAAACGAGGCCCAGCAGCAGTCTCAGCAGCCCAGAGGAGTCCTGTGAAGCTCTTCCCCAAGGATTGCTAGTGTTCACCGGTTCTTCGGATCGCGATGTCAACTTGGCCAAGCAGTTCTGGATCGGGGCGTCCATGTACCCCCCCAACGAATCTCAGCTGGTGCTGTCCAGAGGTAGCAGCCAGCGTCTGCCGGTGGCGCGTCCTTCCAGGAGCAATGCACCGGGTGAGTAGCTCCTCTGTAACCCACGGGGAAGATACTAGAGCCCCGCCCAGGAGAAACTTCTGAACCTAGTTCTAAAGAACCTTTCATTCAAATATCTAAACCTCTATACAAACAGTTTTAATATCGTCTCTGCAATTTTTCCACCCCAAAATGATCAGTGATGTCTTTGTTATATCTAAAAGCACGTCTGAAAATATCCCCTGGGTTATGACATCTGTTTGTCTAAATAGTGTAGAATAGTCTGGGCAAATGTTGGCTGAAAAGATACGAAACACAGTCGTTTACATAATTGAGTTCAAACATGAAAGCCCTAGAGAAGGTTGAAGGCAGAGTCAATATTAGGAAACAAGTTCCCTGACCTGTAAGGCCTAAGATGGGGAAACTGCAATTTTTATAGGTATAAAAAACTTAAATACCTTTAACGATATGGTTTTTCCAGTAATCTCTTTACTTCCCTTTTGTATTTTTTAGAGAAAAAAACTTACTTCCAGCCTTTTTTCCTTGAGGAAAGCAGTAAGTACAAAGTTTTATGCCTTTCAATATCCTGATTCCTAGATTCTTTAAAAAATCTAAGAACTTTTTTTAAAATTTAAAAAATATAGATAACAAGTATAAGGATACAACTTCATACTTTGGCATAACTTTCTGAAAGCATACCAGGACCCTGCCTCAGGGACCGATTCATTTATCCAGAGGAAGATGCCTAAATTCCTGTAACACTTTGAATAGGAATTGTAATATATGATACTGCAAGTTTGTTCTGTTTAGAGACCTTTCTTATCTCTGGACTCAGGCTACTCTTCTAAAGAGATTAAAGGTTCCTTGCAGTCAGAGCTAATTAATTCAGTCTCCAGTTATTTATGAATCTGGTTCATAAAGTTTCAAGACAGTACATATTTATGTTACCTTCCTACTCTATATATTACCTTTTAACCTTTAATTTTTATCAACATTATTGTAAAATCGTGATAAAATTATTTCAGATTGAATTTGACTGTTTTCTTTAGAGAGTAGAGATGTCACTGCTGAAACCCTAAAGATTCAAGAATCTGAGGAGAAAAAAAAGTATCTCCAAAAGGTAGGCCAATATTTCAGAAAGTTATTTGATTTTCATTAAAATTTCATTATTATCTTCTGTGTGTGTTTTAGTCTCTCAGTCGTGTCTGACTCTTTTCAACCCCATGGACTGTAGCCCGCCAGGCTCCTCTGTTCATGGAGTTCTCCAGGCAAGAATACTGGACTGTATTACCATGCCCTTCTCCATTATTTTCTAAATCATCCCAATATTCTTTTTTTTAATATACATATATAGAAATTTTCTGCTTCTGGTATATCAGGTTGGGCATTAAAGAACCTTTATTAGAACTTTAATTGAAGATTAAGAAATTCTATTAAACTTTGGCAGTTCTCAGTCTCTGCAAAAGCCCAAGGATGTATAAGAACAATAAAATCAGAGGGAAGTGGGGGAAAATGCACACACTTTCCATCCAATAAGGCCCTAAATCATATACAAAGTTTTAAGAAGAGAAATACTGTAAGAACAGGAAAAAGTGAAGAGAATTGACTGTCTTGCTGTGCTGTGTCGCTCAGTCATATCTGCCTCTTTGATGAACTGACTGTCTTAATAGGTCAAAATTAAGTGATCAGAGGAATGAGTCTGTCATCTAGAACCATTCTGATTAAAGGCCACAATTCAACACATTGGTGTTGTCAAATCAACTGAACATGTCTCTTCTTGGCACCCTTCCTTGTTGTCTTTTCTTGTTGCAGGCACAGACTTTAACTCAATAATTAGTACAGTGATTTATAGAAACATTTTGTTTGGCTAATGGGGAGATTCCATTCCTGTAACTGTTCCTGTACTATAAAAGCAAAGATAGAGGATTTGTCTGACCTAATGTCTTTAATCACCAGATCTATTGGCAAACTCCAAAAGACTTATTGGGAATTCTACATAAATTACAGAACAATGCATTTGAGTTTGCTGATCACATTAGTTCCCTTTGTGGACTCTTGGTGATTCCTCCAAACAAATTAAGTGATTAGAAATAGTCAGCATTTTCTTCTCTCCTGGGGATACTATATACTGTATATTTATACCAGGACTTAATGAGGGGGAAGAGAACTTAAGTTTCAGTGAGGCAAAAATCATTAAAATTCTACTTCTTCAGCACATTTTAATTTCATTTTTGGAAGAGGTTAGAAATAAAAGATTAAAGGCAAACTATTTCCAATTTTTATCATTTTTTTGTCAAACAATTTAAGACAATTTGAGGAGTTACAAGTGAATTTTCTGTAAATGGACTATTAGTAGTCTTAGAACTGATTTCCTTGCCTCAGTTTCTTCTATTATTAATTAATTAATACCCAGATATCTACTGAGAACCTGTCACATGCCAAGTACTATCCTAGATGCCGGGAATATAAAGATGTATTCCCTGACTTCCAGGGGTTTATAATCTGGTGGGGGAAAATGCCAATTAAATAATGCATTATTATGATAGAGATACACATGTAGAACTATGGGAACATATTGAAGGACATCAAAGTCAAGCTTAAGGATTCAAGAACTCTTCCCAAAGGAGCTGCGTTTCAAAGAATGTATAGAGTTGACTAATCAGGTAATATCCTCCATGCTGGACTAGTTATCTTCCTAAAACCCACGTCCTGTTATGCTGCTTTCTTACTGTATTCGTCTGCTAGGGTTGCCGTAACAAAATACCACAGAACAGGTGACTTAACAGAATTTTATTTTCTCGCAGTTCTGGAGGCTGGAAGCCTGAGATCAGGGTGCCTCCAGAGTTGGTTTCTGATGAAGCCTCATTTCCAGGCTTATGCAATAGATGGCCACTTTCTCAGTGCATCCTCACATAGTAGCAGGAGCTCTGGTGTCTCTTCATCAACTTAGAAGGACATCAGTCCTATTATATTAGGACCCCACCGTTATGACCTCATTTAACTTGAACCACCTTTCTAAAAGATCTGTTTCCAAATAGAATTACACTGAGGGTTAGGGCTTCAACATAGAAATTGCAGGGGTGGGGATGGGAATGATATATCTCAGTCTATATATCTGGTTTCATTTTTCTCCCTGTCTTTTCTGCATGATGTAGACCAAACTCTCCAGTGTGGTATTCAAGTTCTTTCCCAGTCTGACCATGACCTGACTGTCTTCTTCCACTCTCCTTCCTTCCCCTATTCACCACCCCCTATCCCAAAAGCAGCGTCCTCTGTTCAGTTGGTTCTCAGCCACTAGGCTAGGGCACACTGTGTCCCCTTTGCCGTATGTGCTGAGATGGTAAGTGGGTAAATATTAATCTATTTTTGCTAAACCTAAACATTCACATTATCCTGTGATATCTGCCGAATTGTCCATTAAGTCAAATGGGTTCTGCAATGCAGTATAAACAAGACTCTTATCTGCTGAGGGTAGAAGAGGCCTAACCAAGCAGCAGACCAGCAGGACAGAAAGAGAATATTACTGAAACTGCCTTGTGAGGATATAGGAGAACTGAGTCAGTATGGTGCAATACAGTTAAGAGAATCACGTAATAATTGAATGCTCTTAGAGATATCCTCTTTACCATCTGAGCCACGGGGGAGGCCAGTGGGTGTGAACTTGGACAAACTCCAGGAGATGGTAAGGGACAGGGAGGCCTGGCATGCTGCAGTCCATGGGGTCGTGAGGAGCTGGACACGACTTGGCAACTGAACAACAACGATAGATGTCCTCACATACCATTGTGATATAGTACTCATAACACCCAACTTAGTGAGTGCATACCATGTGGTATGTATACTAAGCTAAGCACTGTATATGCATCAGCTCATACTTTCCTTAAAATAACCTCATGATGATTATTCCCATTTAATCAAACGAGGCTTAAATGATCTTCCAAAGTTCCCACAACTGGAAAGTGGCTGAGTCTAAATTCAAAGCCTGTATCCTAATTCCAAAGCCCATGAGTCTCATTTTATTGTATTGATTGATGGCCATGGTATTGTTCAAGTATCAGCCAAAGATTCTAAAATTCAAAACTGTGGTATGAATACAAGTGTGAGAAACAGTGTTTCCAGCCCTGTGGAACTGTACACTGTTTCTTCAACCTGCAGTGCACTTTTGTGTGTCTTCCTAAAATGCTGTCCTAGATTTACCTTCAAGTTTCAACTCAAATACAGCTTCTCTCTGAAGCCTTCCGAGAGGTGACTTGGACACTACAGAATGAATAGCTCCCTTCTCTGTGCTCCCAGAGCAAGTCATGATCTGTGTTACAGCTGCATGTGGATGCTTCTGTCTCTCCTGCTAGATTCCAGGCACCATAGTGTAGTGGACTTCGGAGACAAGCTGGGTTTGGATGTCTGACTCTGCCACTTACTATCTCACTGACCTTGAGAAGCCCACTTAACCCCTGTAAGGCTCAGCTTCCTCAGATAGAGAAGAAGCAGTGATAAGGATCCCCCTCATCCAGTTGGTAAAAGATATGTAAAACACCTGGCCATCGTTTGCTCTCAACAAATTCCAGTTCTCTTTTCTTCCATGAGGGCAGAGGTCATTTCCTATTTGCTTGACCCTGGTGCTCGTCTACCTATTGAAACTCAATAAATATTTGTTGATAAAATAAATAATTGCATATTGAGTTAACAAATGAATGAACATATGCTCTATTCAGTGATAATGTCATTTTGGTTAGCCTTTTGCATGTATATACACCTGACAAATTTTTCTAGGCTGACAGTTTTTGTAAGAATATTCTCCAAAGCTAGTCTATTTGCAAATCTACTTTAGGATCAATTTAGCACATGCCCTCGCTTCTCAGTTTTGCTTTTACGTCATGGGTCTACATATGATGGGAGGAAATGTGACTCCTTGCAATTACTAAAACTTAGACTCTATTTTGGATGACACTGTTTTTTTAAGATTGTAGTACTTTCCCTACATTGCTGCCACCACCATTCTAGAATTTTCAGCTTGATGGCAGAAAATAAATGGGGGTGGGAGGTTCTATTTAACTAATAAAACATTTATAATGATCTATTTAATTTGCAGATCTCCTACATATTTTGAACATATACATTTGTAAGTAAATTCCTGGTATAATTTTCATTCTAAAGTGGGAAAAAATATTCCCCATCAAGTCACTTAAAGTTTTTTTTTCTTTCACAGTCTCCTTAAAATTAATGAAAATCTAAAAATTTATCTCTCTCTCTCCTAAAAACACCTTTATAGCTTTTCTCCCCAACTGATACTGATTGATTTTTTCAGTTGTACTTTTTTAAACTTTAATGTTATCCTCCATCTTGGAATATCTTCCAGGTATACATTATAAATACTTTGGTTAGTGGAGAAAATGCTATTAATCACAAGTACTATTTCTGTGATGGATAGCCATGGCAGAAAATCAAGAACAATTTGAGTCCATCAAGATTAAATGGCTTACTCTGTCCATAAAGGAAACCTTATAGCTCTGTACTGGTCCATTATTCTTCCTTTGAGAGTTCTAAAGTAGTCTGAAAACATTATAATAAATGAATAGTCAGCTAATTCTTTGAAATCATAAAACTAATTTGCTTTTTAGTTTTGCCACCTTTAAGAAAGCTCTTTACCTGATTATCTCTTTATGAAAATGATTATAAATAATTCATTTTCTGGGAGGGGAAGAAAAGATCAGAGCAGTACTTTAAGGCACGTATATAGACAACATACTCATAAACATCCATCTGGAATCAGAGTTTAATGTGAGTGAATATAAACTAAAGGTTTTTAAAAGGAAAAGATCCCATCTGTGAATCAGCAATAAAGACATACCCTTTATCAGGCTTCCCTGGTGGTTCAGACAGTAAAGATTCTGCCTCCAATGCAGGAGACCTGGGTTCAGTCCCTGAGTCAGGAAGATCCCCTGAAGAAAGAAACGGCTATCCACTCCAGTATTCTCACCTGGAGAATTCCACGGACAAAGGAGCCTAGTGGGCTACAGTCCATGGTGTCGCAGAGTTGGACACGACTGAGCAACTAACATTTTATCAGGAGTGGGGTTTAAATCTGTTCAGCCTCACAACCTGTACAACCAATGCTAACTA